TATAGTTCTTGCTGCTTCGCATGTCATCAATCACCAAGTCTTTTTTTTTTGTTTTTTCAATATATGAAATTTATTGTCAAATTGGTTTCCATACAACACCCAGTTGTCATCCCAAAAGGTGCCCTCCTCAATACCCATCACCCACCCTCCCCCCCCCATCAACCCTCAGTTTGTTCTCAGTTTTTAAATTTTTTTTTTAACGTTTATTTATTTTTGAGACAGAGAGAGACAGAGCATGAACGGGGGAGGGTCAGAGAGAGGGAGACACAGAATCTGAAACAGGCTCCAGGCTCTGGGCTGTCAGCAGAGAGCCCGACGTGGGGCTCGAACTCACGGACCACGAGATCATGACCTGAGCCGAAGTCGGCAGCCCAACCGACTGAACCACGCAGGCACCCCTGTTCTCAGTTTTTAAGAGTCTCTTATGCTTTGGCTCTCTCCCACTCTAACCTCTCTTTTTTTTTTTTTTCCTTCCCCTCCCCCATGGGTTTCTGTTAAGTTTCTCAGGATCCACATAAGAGTGAAAACATATGGTATCTGTTTTGCTCTGTATGGCTTATTTCACTTAGCATCACACTCTCCAGTTCCATCCACATTGCTACAAAGGGCCATATTTCATTCTTTCTCATTGCCACATAGTACTCCATTGTGTATATAAACCACAATTTCTTTATCCATTCATCAGTTGATGGACATTTAGGCTCTTTCCATAAATTGACCAAGTCTTTAGAGGAGACTATTCTTAACATTTCTCATATGTCCTTGCAGCCACGACATTCAATAATTTCCTTTTTTCACTTCTTATACCATTTTAATTCAGACTCCATACATCTGTTTGGGTGATGTTCGTTAAAATCCAAGTCTGATCACACGACTACTCACCTACCAAAAAAGTCTTAATGGCATCCTCAAAGAAGAGAATGAAAATAAATAGTATGACACAAGACATAATCTGCTCACTACTGACCTCTCTAGTCCTATTTCTTGTTAAATCCTTTATAGTGAATGCTGTAGCTGTGAGCTTTTTTTTTTTTTTTTTTTTTTTTTACCTTACCCTAACGTTGCAGGGTCTCTCTGTGTCCCTGTGACTTTTCTCACATTGTTGCTTCTCTTTAGAATGGTACCCCACTTCTCTATTAGATTCCCGGACAAAAGTGTCTAAGATTCAGCTCAAGTGTCAAATGCTTTTTATAAATTACATGACAGGTGCTTTATGAATCATGGTGCCTGAAGTTGTAATGGCACTCTTACTCAAAACACACTATCCCCTTGACCCCTAGGACCACACTTGACCTCTTCTGCCTTCAGATCCCTACTATGTCACATATAAATTCCTGCCACAGCAGTCACAACACTTCAATGCGCTTGTTTTAGGTCTTTCTCTCCCCCTACTAGACTAAATACGTTGAAGCAGGAACCAAGCTTGTAAGTCTTGGGATTCCCAAGGCCTTACAGAGGATCAGTAACAGGCGGTCAATAAACGTTTATTAAATTAATTGATAAAGATAGGGAATACACATACACACTAAGGGAATGGAAGAAACAAAATTATTCGTTACAAATTACTATAAGCAGATCAACAAAGTACTGCCACTGTGAACAGGTTGCTCATTAGGCATAATATATAAAATGTTTAATTATCTTCAGGTAATTTCAACACTGGAGACCCTTCAGTTCTGATATCTGATTAGAGAATCAGGACTAGGCTCATCTGCCTATATTTAGAGCAGGATTCAGGTGACTAACGTTTCCTGAAGAAGGAAATGGTCGTTATGGCCAAGTGGCCCAAGTACACAGGCAGGCCGTTTACCATTCTAGGGAGTAAAAGCTTTAAGACATTACAAGTAACTTCTTGATCTTGAAAAGTCACAGGCTTAGATAATCAAGTATTACTTGATAGTAAATTGTAGAATACAGGGATTGTAAAAAAAAAAAAAAAAAAAAAAAAGTTCTGCTATCTCTGTCCTTGAATAGAATAGTCTACAAGGTAGCTAGCTAAAAACATAAAAATTCAGCAACCGTGGTATGGACAGTCAACTCACTTCTAGATAGAAAGTTCATTAGAATCAAACACAAAATGAATGCCTGAATGAATATAGCATGTTTCCTTTTATCTGATATTACAGGTCTCATAAGGACTCTCAAAATTCAAAAAGGAACAAAAAAGGGCTTTGTCCTCCCCCTTTCACCACCCGAGTTGAACTTACTCAACTGTTCCATTCTCTGTGAAGACCCGAATTTCCCAGGCAGTTGGCTCTCCCCTCCCCTGTATACCTCTGGCACTTGCTGATTCTACTTCAAAGTAGATACTGGGGCTTGGCTCAGCTGGTGTCCAGTGCACCCCCTTCTTCCTGGCTTTCCTCTGCTACAGAGGTAGGAGAGAAACTGAATCCTGAATCCCCAGACTCCCTCAGAGCTACACAGGGCCATCTGACACCAATTCGGTCTCCCCTATGGAGGGCTTTCCTGAAAAGCAAAGAGTCCTTAGCTCTCTTCTCCCGCTCCCATCCAAAACACAGACTCAATGCCTAGAGGTTCAGCAGTCCTCTTGTGACCCTAAGACAGGGAAGATGGAGGAGAAGGGAGTGTGGGACATTGATGCCCAGCCTCGGACTGCATCCCTTCAGACATCTTGTTATGAGTCATTTTCTTGTTGAAATCACCGTGGTAGTTTTGGTTATAGCTGGACTCCATTTCTTTTAAGGCTCTTACCAGTCTGTTAATTAGGTTAACAGACCTGTCCCCCCCAAATTAGGTGGGGCTCCATGAGGGCGGGGGTCTTGTCATATTCATCTCTGTACCCTTACCACGTAGGATGACGCCTGGGATACAGCAGATGCTCAACAAAAATTTACATGTGGGTCACAGTGCAAACGAGTATTAGTAACATCAATCACCCTCAGTGATCACATATATTCACCACATTCAAAGGAAAAACTACCTTTTTTACCATCTTGTGTATATATGCACCAAAGCCAGTCACTGTGTTAGAATACTGTAAATTCCTTATTTTGAATCGGTCAATTCATACACATTTTAGAACTGTCTTGAGATACTGCTTCTCAAGAATTATCTCATGATTTGGGGCATCTGTTCATAGTTACACTGTAGTATGATAAGATGCTCAGAACCTGGGAACTTTCAACTGTTGGAATACACATTTAAATATTACCATTACTAGAGAACTTACACAATTCAATTCTGGAATCTACTAAAAACAGTAACATTTAAAAAATTATTCAAATACCTACATTTACACATGTCGTATAATGTTATTTACTGGTACAGGATTTAACCGTGCATTTAATTTACATATTGATACAGGTACCACAGTAAAGAATATTTCTGGGCACCCCAAAAACCTAATACAATACTCAACACAGTGAATGTTAGGTTTCTTAAATTTTGTAGCAGTTTTGAGTTTTTAACCTAATACTACATATATATCATCTCATTTTATCCTCACAGCAGCCCTGTAAAGTAGGCACTGTTATCTTTTTAATAGAGATTTAATTTAAGATCAGAGAGGTTAAGAAACTTCCCCAAAGTCAGTCAGCAAGTTATGGTAACTAGAGCTTTCTGACTCCACATCTTGTATTCCGTGCCAGCTTTAGTTAAAAATGATCGAGGGCTGGGGTGCCTGCGTGGCTCACCTGGTTGAGTGTTTGGCTCTTGATTTCGGCTCAGGTCATGATCTCACGGTTTGTGGGTTTGAGCCCTGTTTGGGACTCTCTCTCCCTCTCTGCCATTCCCTCACTCTCTCTTTCAAAATAAATAAACTAAAAAAAAAAAAAAAATGACCTATGGCTTTTCTCCTAAAAAGGTTAGGATGAGACCCAGAGTCTACAATTTATTAACTTTAGGTATTCTCAACATTTCTGTGTCTCCTGCTACAGCGAAATGAAGAACGCTGTACAACTATAGATACAGTGTGTCATCTGTTGAACCCTTTCAAGCTAAAGAACATTTGCAGAGATAACCAATTCCTAAGTCTATTCAACAAACATTCAAAAAGTTTCTGTGAATTACTGGACATCGTTTTGATACAGTTTTACTAGAACACAGTCATGCTTATTATTATTATTTTTTAACATGTTGCTTATGGCTGCTTTTGTGCTACAACCGCAGAGCTGGGTAGCTGTAACAGACACCGTATGGTCTGCAAAGCCTCAAGTATTTATTTTTGGTCCTTTGCAGAAACTGTCAACTCCTATCCTGGGGCGTTAAAGAGAACAAGAGGCTGGTTCTCTGCATATGTTCATAATCTGGAGAGGACAAAGGAAAGGATCGCGTATGCAAACATAAGTCAGCATGGTAAATACAGGCACACCTCAATTTAATGTGTTCTGCTTCATTGTGCTTTGTAGATACAGCGTTCTTGTTTTTTAACAAAGTAAAGGCTCGTGGGAACCGTGGGTCAAGCAAGTCTATGAGTGCCACTCTTCTAACAGCGTTTGCTCATTTCCTGTCTCTGTGTCACATTTTGGTAATTCTTACAGTATGTGAAACTTTTTCATTTCTTCTGTTTTGGGGATCTGGCATCAGTGATCTTCGTTCCCACTGTAACTGTTTTGGCACACATGCACTGTGACCCTGTGAGATGGCAAACTTATCGACAGATGACCTTACGTGTATTCTGACTGTTCACCGACTGGCTGTTACCCTCTCTCCCGATCCTCCGGCCTCCCTGCCCCCTGAAACACAACAGTATTGAAGTGGGCCAATCAGTCAGCCTATGCTGGCCTCTAAGTGTTCAAGGGAAAGGAAGAGGTGCAGGTGGTCCCTTTAAGTGTGGTGATGGGAGATGATCAGATGCCTCGGGAGATGTAATGAACGGGGTGAACGACGCGGGCACGGCCGCACGGCGTTCGGCTACGAACGACCTTCTGAGGACAGTCAGAAGGAGGATCACCTGAATCCGGACTGTGGCTGGACGAGGGTGACTAAAACCATGAAAAGCAAAACTCTGGATGAGGTGGGCGGGGGACTACTCTACTGGCTCTGTGCTGCAGAAGAGCAAGTTTAGGATTACATGTGAAGGAACTTGCTCAAAACCACAAAGTGATTATGAGGCAGAACTGAGAACTCAACTTGGGGGTGGTGTGTGTGGCACCAAGGCACCCGGTAAGTAGGTCACTGACCAGAACTACTTCCTAACGACGCCAGGCTGAAAGATCTAAATGGTTTAAAACAATAAGCTTACAACGGGTACATTTGTGTAGGGGATTTGGGCAACAGTGTAACAACTGGTCTCTCCGTGATTTAAGTGGTGAAATTCAGAGCTGGATCAATTCTGACAATGCAGTTTGTTTTTAAAGTAATTCAGAAAGGCATGGCTGAGTTCAGTGAGGGTCACTGGTCCTGAAATGCTTTTAAAACCAAACCTGCCTAAGTTAGATGGAACAGAACTTGGGGGTTCCGAGCAATCATAAAATCCTCGCTTGAGCATATGTAAAGCTGTCTAGGTTTTTCTGGGGATGGGGCAGTGAGTAATCAGAGCGAAAAAGGGTTCTAACTGCAAGTACATATTTGTTTATGCTGAGAAAGGTGACTTCCCAATCTTTGTATCTTACACATTTAATTCTCAGTTCAAGCGGCAAAAATCAGTACCACAGACACTTGGAGGATTTGACAATGCTGGCATTTGAGGGGGGTATTCAGTTTTTATCATTAACTGGCTGCTTGGTATTTAAATAGAACACAAATATGTTCAGTAAAGACATCAATGTTCTAAATTTTCGTAGACCGAGTTTTAGTATTTTTTACTCTAAGACATACTTTATGTAAAACATTAGTAGTTTGACTTCCTTTTAATAAAAGGAAAGGTAGCTGAGCAAACCTTTGTGTCTGTACCTCACTCATTTATCCTACTCAAAGAGAAGCAAGTAACTTCGAGAGTGGTCTTTACACAGCTATGAGTCACTAAAATTGGTGTCGCACAATTAGCGGTTACCTATTTTGTTGTAGACTTGCTAAGGAGGTAGACTTGCTAAGGACAGTAGACTTGCTAAGGAGGTAACTTCTTTGACACAATGTGAAGCCGAGAAATAATGGAAAACAAAGCCAAATTTTCTTTGGATTTCCTCCTTTCAGTTATAGCTTAATGTGCTAAATATCACTAATAACAAATGACAGTTTATAATAATAATTTAAGTATGCTGTAGGTTTGTAATCTAGGAATAAAACAGTAATTAGTGTTTTAAAACTTTCGCTAGGGGCGCCTGGGTGGCTTGGTCGGTTAAGCGGCCGACTTCGGCTAAGGTCATGATCCCGCGGTCCGTGAGTTCGAGCCCCGCGTCGGGCACTGTGCTGACCACTCAGAGCCTGGAGCCTGTTTCAGATTCTGTGTCTCCCTCTCTCTCTGACCCTCCCCCGTTCATGCTCTGTCTCTCTCTGTCTCAAAAATAAATAAACCTTAAAAAAAATTTTTTTTAAATAAATAAAACTTTTGCTAAGTTTTCAATTCACAAGATTTTCATTCTCACATGCTAGGGTACAACTTTTTCTCTTTAAAAGAATTCTTGTTCTCACAGGAAGTTGGTCATTTTTAGTAATAGCATATACTTACATGAGGACAATATGAACACACCAGAGTAAATGACATAGCTTATCTGTCTACATTCTACATTGTAGCAAACTTAACATGTTTTTCTTTCTTGAATGTTTATTTTTGAGAGAGGGAGAAAGAGAGAGAGCGAGAGCAGAGAGAGAGACACACACACACACACACACAGAATCTGAAGCAGGCTCCAGGCTCTGAGCTGTCTGCACAGAGCCTGATGCGGGGCTTGAACTCATGAACCGTGAGATCATGACCCCAGCCAAAGTTGGATGCTTAACCAACTGAGCCATCCAGGCGCCCCAAACTTAACACCTTTAAATGAGGTATACAAGCAAACATTTAAATATTTCCCTTTCCCCCACATTGGTTTATTTCGAAATGGTTTTCTCTAGGATTAGGAAACAAGGATACTTCTTAAAATCCAATTATGAACATATAAATTATAAGGCATTACATAAATTATAAGGAATTTTAGTAAGTATTAATGTAGAAATGTTGATAGATGTCAGATACTATATACCATAACAATATTATGGGAAATGTCTAACGGAGAGTTTGCTGCAGGCAAACATTTCTCTCAGAGAATTGTATCTTTAACCAAACTAGAAGATACCAATTTTACGTATATCAAAATACAGCTGTGAAAAAGAAATTAACTTTGGACTTAACGAAAGTCTACTGGCTAATATTTTAATTCACGAGTATCATTTCATGCTTAACCTTTTAACTAATGTGTTCATGAAATGATGCTATTTCTCAGGCATATGAGATTTTAATCAGGAATAAACAGTGAAAATTCCAGATCATTGCCCTGTAAGCTCTTGTTTGGTTACACTAGTTGATAAAACTTTTCAACAAATGAGCACTAGCAGAGTTGGAAAAAAGCATCCAGAATGACAGCTACATTCTTAACTTGCATCACTTAGGAAGGGTCATGTTCCCACTGAGGGCTAGAACCTTAACATGATGTGCACTATAAATTCCAAACTATTCATGAGCTAGAACAGCGGTCAGCAAACTGTGACCCAGATGCTGGCTTTTGTAAGTAAAGTTTTACTGGAATGCAGCCATGCTTGTTCATTTCTGTACTGTCTAGGACAGCTTTTTAGAATTACAGTCGACATACAATGTTATGTTAGTTTCACATATACAACAGTGATTGGACAATTCTATACATTATGGAATCTCAGCACAAGTGCAGCTACCATCTGTCACCATAAAACCCAATGACGACGCTACTGACTATATTCCTGTGCGGCACCTTTCATCCCTGTGACTTACACATTACCTAATTGGAAGCCTATACCTCCCACTCCCTTTTGTCCACCTTGCCCATCCTCCTCTTTCCCTCCTCTCTGGCAACTACCAGTTTGTTCTCTGTGATTATGACTGTTTCTGCTTTTTTGTTTTGCTTTTTAGCAAAAAAGTTCACTTATAAGTGAAATCGTATGGTATTTGTCTTTCTCTGACTGACTTCACTTAGCATAATACCTTCTAGAGCCATCCATGCTGTAACAAATGGCAAGACTGCATACTTTTTCATGGCTGAGTAATATTCCACTGTGTGTGTGTGTGTGTGTGTGTGTGTGTGTGTGTGTGTATCTCCTCTATCCATTAATCTAGGGACTCTAAATTGCTGCAATAAACACAGGAGTGCATAAACCTTTTTGTATTAGTATTTTGGTTTTCTTTGGATAAATACCCAGTAGTGGAATTACTGTATTATATGGTAGTTCTACTTAAAAAATTTTAAAGAAACTTCTACACTGTTTTCCACAATGGCTATATCAATCTACATTCCCACCAACAATGCACGATGGCTACCTTTCCCCCCCATCCTTGACGTTTGTTGTTCCTTGTCTTTTTGACACTAGCCATTCTGGCTGGTGTTAAGGGAGTATTTCACTGTGGGTTTGATTTATATTTCTCTAATGATTCATGATGCTGAGCATCTTTTCATGTGTCTATTGGCCATTTACATGTGCTCTTTGGAAAAGTGTCTATTTGTGTAGTGTTTTTTTTTGTTTTTTTGTTTTTTTGTTTTTTTTTTGGTGTTGAGCTGTAGGTTTATATATTTGGGATATTAACCCCTTATTGAATGTATCATTTGTAAATCTCTCATTTAGTAGGTTGCCTTTTCATTTTGTTAATAGTGTCTTTCACTGTGCAAAGGCTTCTTATTTTGCTATAGTCCCAGTAGTCTATTTTTCTTTTCTTTTCCTTGCCTTAGAAAATGTTGCTAAGGCCAATGTCAAAGGTTAACCATACTAAGCATGGGTTTGTTTCTGGGCTCTATTCTAGTCCACTGGACAGAATGTGTGTATTTCTGTGCCAACACCATACTGTTTTATTAAAGCTTTGTAGCAGGTATCTTGAAATTAGAGACTGTGATGCCTCCAGCTTTGGCTATTCAGGGTCTCCTGTGATTCCACACAAATTTCAGTATTTGTTCTAGTTTGTCTATGGCAGTTTTAGAGTGGCAGAGTTAGGCCAGAAAACACATGGTCTTCAAAGTCATACATGACTTTTTAAGAAAAAGTCTGCCAACCTCTGGACCACAGGATATTTTTGTATCACTTTTTAAGATTTTAAAGGCAAAACCCAAAAACCTTTATTCAACTGAGATCATTACAATTCAAAATGATATATACTTAAACAGTCTGTTTTGCTTTGATAAAAACAGGTAGAAGTCTTATCAGGTCTGGCCTCTTCACTGCTGCTGTGCTCGTTGGTTGCCACTTCTCTATCCTGGATGTGTGTTTCACACTCTTGCTTGGGCTTCTTCCTCCTCTGCTACTGCTACTCAGGAGGCTTCTCGAGCCTGCATTTTGACCTGTTCTGTCTCTTTTCCCTTGTCTCTTCTCACCGGTTTTGCATAGTATTTTTCATGTGCTCTGGATGTTGTGGAAGTACCAGGAACTTTGATCACCATCTTACCATTCAGCAATTATGTAGTTTTAGCTTTTTAAAAAAATTTTTAAAAATACTTATTTATTTTTGAGAGAGAGAGAGAAAGAGAGTAGGGGAAGGGCAGAGAGAGACGGAGACACAGAATCCAAAGCAGGCTCCAGGCTGAGCTGTCAGCACAGAGGCTGACGCGGAGCTCAAACCTATGAACCATGAGATCATGACCTGAGCCGAAGTGGGATGCTTGACTGACTGAGCCACCCAGGCGCCCCTACCTCATTTTGTTTTCCTAGCTTACTTTTTTTAACTTTAGTGTTTGTTTTTTATTTTAATATTCACTTAGATTTTTTCATATACTAATTTCTTACGATCCTTCTTGCCTCTCGGTTTTTCTCTTTGGGTTTATGGTGTATCCAGTCTTCACTTGTTTCTTGCTCAGGGTACTAACCACTTCAAGGCTTGGAGCCACCCTGGATCAGTTCCTACTTTTGCAATGACACTCTCTTGCTCGTGTCGGGGCATGTTATTTTCCTCAGTGCCATCCCCTCTGCTTTCTGTGTCTGAAGGATTCATTACAATGTCTTCTCTAATGAACCTCATACCGTGGCATGTGCTCAGGCCTCCATCTCGAAGTGGAAGTCCCACATGTATTGATCTTCTTCTTTCTTTTTAAATTTCTAGCTCAAAAATCAGGCCAAATAACTTTTACGTACAGAAATATACGTGTTACATTTCTCATAACTATCCCTGTAAAAGTTTTTTCTTTTACTGCATGGACAATCAAGGATTAAATGTTTTAAATTCCCACTTGTGTCATAGACTTCATCTTCCGCTGCACTAAAGGAGAACCAAACACGAAAACTTGTCCCAACTATGTGATATACTATCACTTACTGATTTGACATCATTCTAGTAACCCTCCTTTCTTTTGTTTTAGTGGTTTTCTCTTTTTTCCCTATTAGTTGTGATCACACTGAGTTTTTAACTTTATTTTGTTTTTTTTCCTATACTAATGATATACCAGCTGGATAATAAATTAAAAACGTCAATTTGGTAAACTTCTCAAACTAAGTACTTTTAACACAAATTCGTAATAATCCATAAGGATTCTAACTTTTGATAAAAGGCAGAACCAGATTTCACAATACAAGCATTGATCGTAACAAAAAAAAATGCACTGGAATAGCCTTATTTTAGCAACTAAGGATTTCTGAAAGCACAATCAATTTCCAAAAAAAAATCGGGCTAACAAAACTATAGGGTATCCATTAAAGATTATGCAATAATAAAAAAAGTAATTTTGAAAAAGCAGAACTAAATTTTCCTATGCTGCTTTCATAAAGGTAAAAAAAACGCTTTCATCTAAAATAGCTCTGCATGGGTACAATTGATCTGCCATCAACAGAGCCACCTCTGAATGTCACTTAGCTCCAAAAATCAAGACTCACACACAAATAAAATAACAGTATTACAGTTACAAGTAAAAATAAATAAGCTAGTTAAAAGTCAAACAACTCAACTTACAACCAATAATTTAGCAGAAGAGTACATAATTCCAGAGACCCTTCTAAGAAACCATGTTAGGGCCTAACGTATATACACATCAAGCCAGAAGATTCTTTAACAATGGAATCTTACAGTCATGTCTCAGGGACCTGGAGCACCATGCTTTGGGAATAAGGAATACAGAACAAGGGTTTCAGGACTTCTCTGGCATGACCATAACTGGGTATTTTTGTTTGTCCTGTGAGGAAAGAGAAACTTACCAGAAAGAAATACAGAGTTTGAGATACGGCTAAGAAGAAAGAGCATGCTTATTAGGAGCCTCTCATTTAATAAACATTAGATACAGCCTAAGCTAAAAAGGATCCGATGGAGGTTTTTATTTTCTGAGAACAAAACCTTAGCTGGGTAGAAAAATATCAGGGAGAGTGAAAGGGGGAGGAAGAAAGTGTGTTTTATCTTTTACTGTGACTTACGAATTAAGTTTTTGGGCATAAGTGACATATGTATCCCTTAAACTAATACAAATGTTATAACAATGATTTGATACATGCATAGATTACAAACTGATTATCACAATAAGTTTCGTTAATATCACATGAGTTAGTCTTTTTCTTGTGATGAGAACTTGTAAGATTTACTCTTAGCAACTTTCAAATACACAAGATAGTAATATTACGGTTTCTTTTACTATACGCTTAGCAGATATATCGAGGCCAAGGGCGTTAAATTAAGTCTATGCTGAGGAACAGAGCTGAGAGGCAAAGAGAAATCAGATCCTGGGAACGTGGCTCAAGCCCAGGGTGAGGCTATGTGCCTCAACGGTAGAGTGATGTGAGTCAACAAGATCTCTTTACTGTTTCAGCCTATCTGAGCTGGGTTTAGTTACTTGCAATATGAAGAGTTCTAACTAATAAAATATTGGAATTACACAAATCTTTAACAAACTGTAAATCAATAGTTGCAGCCTGTGACAACCAGTTTTGAATACGGTAAGCAAAAATATTCTCCGAGGGATGAAATTATCCAGTAGTTTTCAAAGGTACTTAAAAAAATCTTGTCATGGGTGTGGGGGAGGGATGGACAGTGAGGAGACATAGTGACTGGAAATTTTGGGGAGCACATCCTACAACAGATTCTAGATCCTCTACAGTAACTAAGAATATTTCCATTTGTTTTGGCTTTGGGAGAACCCCATTATTCCTATCAATAGAATGCGTAGTATCTAAAAATTACTATTAATATATATCTCTTCTCCCAAAATAAAAACCCAACACCAAACCAGTAACAACCACACACCTAAAGAAATTCAGTAATTGTGTATAACATGCAGCTATGGGTAAATTAAAAAAATTATCAATAAAGTGTTAAGAGACAAACATGCTAACCTTCTTTCCCAATTTTTTCTAAATCTTACTGAAGCTATCTCTATGAAGCTAAAAATCCTCCTCAGTCTTAGTTAAAATAAAAGCTACTATTTACTGAACACTTATGTGTTAGGCACTGTGGCAAAATGCTTTATATACATTTACTCATTTTTCTATCTCTCTTCCTTCAACAGGACTTATTTTAAAATCCCAAGTGAAATGCTATAAAGAGCATTTTCCAGTCTATGCCAATGAAATGATAAGCTTAGGATTAATCCTGGTGCCTTATTTTACAAAGATTTCTTGTCTTCCAACACCTGCAGGTTCCATGTAACATGGCTAGAAATGCTGCAACTGACTGGTTTGTTGAAGCTGGATTTTGAACGCCCTCTAAGAGTGAACACCAGAAAATTCCAAATTTATCAGGACCTCAAGCACATCAAGACACCAGACGACTTGGAGGGCTCCTATTTACAGCAAACTGCCTCTAATAACAATCTCACTCAGTATGTACGACAGAAAACGGAGCTTACAAATTTCATACAAGGGCTACTTAAAGTGTGGTCTCTAAACCTGGTACCAGTCTGCAAATGGTTAGGAGTCCAGAATATTTTCTACATCACTAAGTACAGTGCTCAGTTCGGCTAACTTGTTTTTTCATCGCAAGATACTCTTGATGAAGGAGGCTGGATTGATTTATTCTAGCCCAACCTTCTTATCCATCATGAACTGGTAACAGTTTGTGAGCCACAAAAGACCCCGAATAGCCAAAGCACCCTTGAAAAGGAAAAACAAAGCTGCATCACAATTCTGGGTTTCAAATTACAGTACAAAGCTGTAGTAACTAAAATAGTATGGTACTGGCACAAAAACAGACACATAGATCAATGGAATAGAACAGAAAACCCAAAAACGAACCTACAACTATATGGTCAATTAAGCTTTGACAAAGCTGGAAAGAATATCCAACGGGAAAAAGACTATGTCTTCAACAAATGACGGTGGGAAAACTGGACAGCAAAGTGCAAAAGCATGGAACTGACCACTTTCTTATACCATAACATAAAAATAAATTAAAAATGGATGAAAGACCTAAATTTGAGACCTGAAACTATAAAAATCCTAAGACAGAACATGGTAAGTAATTTCTCTGATATCGGCTATAGCAACTTCTTTCCCCAGATGTCTCCTTAGGCAAAAGTAAAAATAAACTACTGGGACTTCGTCAAAATAAAAACCTTCTTCACAGTGAAGGAAACCATCAACAAAACTAAAAAGCAACCTACAGAATGGGAGAAGATATTTGCAAATGACTTATCTGATAAAGGGTTAGTATCCAAAATATATAAAGAACTTCCAAAGCTTAAAAACCAAAAAACGAATCATCTGATTAAAAATGGGCAGAAGACAAGAACATTCTTCCAAAGATGATATCCAGATGGCCAACATCACTGATCATCAGGGAAATGCAAATCAAAACTACAATGATATATCACCTCACACCTGTCAGAATGGCTAAAATCAACAACACAAGAAACAAACAGGTGTTGGTGAAGATGTGGAGAAAGGGGAGCCCCTCTGCACCGTTGGTGGGAATGCAAACTGGGGCAGCCACTCTGGAAAACAGTATGGAAGTTCCTCAAAAAGTTAAAAATGAAACTACCCTATGATCCAGCAACTGCACTACTAGGTTTTTACCCAAAGGATACAAATGCACTAATTCAAAGGGATACATGCACCCCGATGTTTACAGTAGCATTATCTACAACAGCCAAATTATGGAAACAGCTTAAGTGGCTACTGATTGATAAAGATGGGGTGCATACAATGGAATATTACTCAGCGATAAAAAAGAATGAAATCTTGCCATTTGCAACAACATGGATGGAGTTAGAGTATTATGCTGAGCAAAATGAGTCAGAGAAAGACAAATACCATATGATTTCACTCATATGTAGAATTTAAAGAAGAAATGACCAAGAGAGGAAAGAAAAATACAAACTAAGACACAGACTCTTAACTGCAGAGAATAAACTGATGGTTACCAGAAGGGAGGTGGGAAGGGTGAAGGGTGAAATAAGTGATGGGGATTAAGGAGTGCGCTTGTTGTGATGAGCACTAGGTGATATATGAAGTAGTGCTGAAACTGATGTTCACTGGATGTTCACTGGAATTTTAAATAAAAACTTTAAGACAATTAGCAATTGATCTCACCTTTGACAGAAGCAATTTCACACAGGAAACGTGACCTTCATAGACAGCAGACAGAAGAGGGGTAATATGATGTTTATCCGGAGCCTATGAAATAAGAGATTAAAAAACGACTTTAGTTTTCATTTCTTCCTTCCTTCTAGATTTGATCAGAGAACTATCAACGTTTACCTCTTTGCCTTGTTACACAAAATCCCTTCAAGGCTACAAGTTTTCAGCCTCTTAGAGAGCTACCGGGGCCCAAGCCCATAAGCAGCGTCTCCTTGAGTATCAGCCTAGTGAAGTAGAGGGCACAGGGCTTTGACGTCAGCTCAAACCTTGGCTCTGCCACTTACACTGTGCCAACTGTTTGGCCTCTCTGAGCCCCAAGTCCTCACGACGTTGTAGGAATGCGAATGAGGCCCAGGAAGGGAAGAGAGGGGGTAGAAAATAGCCAATGAGAGGGACAAGGCTGCCACAATGGGGCCGGGTGACATAGTGTCCCCTGAAATGTGTAAAGTTCATCTCACTTGCTGTCATGGCTAAACATTTTTCCAAAACCCTGAAAAGCTGTAAAAGGCAAGAGCCAGGAGGTGACCGCGCCTGTCTGACCATTTGCCTACTGACCTTTGTCCAAAACTCCAGTCTGGATTTATTCTAAGACTACATAGTCCTATCCTCCATTGCATGACAGCCATTTGCCACCTATAGACAGTGACAGTGTTAACTCTCAAGTTGCTGTAGAACTTAAAAATGAAGCATCCTAACTCATGGTTTTATCCATTTAAGAAAGTCTGTTTGTTCTGCTTATTTAAAAAAAAATGCCAACTATATATTTCTAGGTTACAGGAAATTTGGTATAATTTCAGACTATATTTCTATTTTACAAGACTAGAAAACAATTACCCAAGGCATACAACAGGGTTTTTTTTCTAGAATGACCACGTTCTTTACATACATTAATATCTGCTCCTTTCAGCAGCAGAAATTCCAGGATTTCAAGCTGCCCACAATCTGCTGCATAATGAAGAGGCTTCCTTCCACCTTCTAGTGTCCGGTTGACATCTTCTCCCTTATAAGAGAAGCCAAATGAAAATGGTATTTAGATGGATGGTAGATGGAAGATGGGACATGATACCCCCAGTATTTTCACTTTCTTAAAAGCCTAAGAGTTCCATGAAACAATCACATTTCCTGCAAAGTGAAATAAGTAACCAAGAAGTTGAAATTAAATTCTGTGCAACAGCACATACGCAGTACGGCAGTAATTCAACCGTGATCAAACTGGAAACAGACAATGATGCTAAATGTAATGAAATATGTTACCGCGCTCTATTTCCAAGGGGTTCAATCAGCATAATGTTAAGATGTGGCCAGAAAAGACTGGTAAGTTCAAATACTGAGATTTTCCCCAGATCACAGGACCTTGTCTTCTACTTTAAGGAAAGCATCACTCCTTTGATGGAAGCAGACATCATCATCACAAGGTAGTCAGTACTGCTACTAAGAATCATTTCCCTCGTTTAACATGGACTAAAGGCCTGCTATACGGCAAGCACTGTGCACAGAAGACAAAGGTGAACAAGATCAGAGCTTCTGATTGCACAGAGCTCACTATCTAGTGTGGCGAGGCAGACATTAACTGGCTCATCACAGGACTAAACAGAGTGTCAAAACAGAATTGCTATAAAGGAAAGGAGCTCAGTGTTTGATACAAACACTTATCAGAAGAACAGGATTGAATCTTGGTGATGGATGGGGAGCGGCTTGTGTCAGAAAATGAACTTACTAAGGCCTCAAAAAAAGAAAAGTTTTCATTCACTGAGAATTAACAGATTCTAACAATAACAAAGGCAACCAGGCTCTTTACTGATCAGCTGATACAGGTTTGGCACTGTGCTATACACATAATCTCTAATCTTTATCCTAAAAGGAGAAAATCTCCACTTGATAAATGAAAAGTCTGAAGCGAAAAGAGGTTAACTAACTTTTTAATGGGGCTTAGTAACAAGTGAGATCTAAACTCATTCTCTTTCTATACCACCATGTTGCCCCCAATGCAGCATTTTCCCCTTCTTTCCTTTTTAAAAAAATTTTTACATTTATTTATTTTTGAGAGAGTGAGACAAAGTGAGAGTGGGGGAGGGGCAGAGAGGGAGACACAGAATCCGAAGCAGGCTCCAGGCTCCGAGCTGTCAGCACAGAGCCCGACGCGGGGCTTGAACCCACAAACCGTGAGATCATGACCTGAGCCCAAGTTGGACGCTTAACCGACTGAGCCACCCAGGCGCCCCATATTTTCCCCTTCTTTCTTAAGGAAAGTTCAGATTTTAGAGTAGCAAAATGCCTGAAGGAATTTATATCCTCGACTACTATATTATTCACTTACCTTGGTTTGGTTAACTCATCAAGTCATATTCTGACTCAAGCAGTTCAGAACCCTATCATTTCTTGGCCACTACAAGCTGCCCTTTCAAACACAGATATAGGAGACAGGTGTACAACTTGCCTAATGCCAGTAGAGGCTGGGCTGCAGCTCCGACTCTACTACTGAGCTGTGGGACTTAGACGGGTTACTTTCCAAATCTGTTTCCTTATCTGTAAAATGGGAATAAAAATGCTTAGACCTCATAAGGTTTTACACCAGCATTAAGACAACCCACGCAAAATATTTAACGTAGGTCCTGACACATGGCAAAATGTCTAATGAGGGTTAACTATAATTTCTGTGGATCCCTGATGTTGGTTTATACTGGCCCTAAAAGACTATTCCAAAATTGAGTTAAGGCAGGTTTCTGCAGAACAGCTGAAATTTAAAGGTATGATTGACTGTAATATACTTTTTCTCCAGAAACAAATTTAAATAGTCTGGGCAATCTGGCGTACCACCTTAGCCTTTATTCACAGCTGCACAAATGGGAGCCTTTGAGGCAAAAAGAGACACTGCTTAAACAATTCTCGATGAAACTAGTTCCCCTTACGTTGGTAATAGGTCCCCTCCATTATTAACTACAGAGCATTAACTGGATAGATCTTTTCAGTGAGAAAAGCAAAGTATTACTTGTAGTAAGCCATCGATAAGAGGGCTTTGTCAAAGATATTTTCCCAAATCCAAATAAGTGACCTCTTCCTTCCCCACTTGGTATGAGCCTGGAAAATGCGTATGAAATGGACTTGTGAGCTTAAACTTTCTCCTTTATCGCTGCAGACACCGCCTTTACAGTTCTCATTTTGGCAGACAAAAAATGACGACACCAGAAAGGCTCTGCATGACTGACAGGAAAGAAAGGGTCCACTTCTGTGGGGCCTTAGCAAAAGCTGTACTTAGAGAGGAATTTATGGTACTGGAAGACCTGTACTGGAAAAGGAGAAAGGACTCAAAACAATGAGTTTTGGACTTTCACTTTAAGAATCTAGAGAGTATTATGCTAAGTGAAATAAGTCAGAGAAAGACAAATACCAGATGATTTCACTCATACGTGGAACTTCAAAAACAAAACAGATGAACACAGAAGAGGGAGGGAGGGAGAGGGAGAGGGAGAGGGAGAGGGAGGGAGGGAGGGAGGGAGGGAGAGAGAGAGAGAGAGAGAGAGAGAGAGAGAGAGAGAGAGAGAGAGAGGCAAACCAAGAAACAGACCCTTTACTTAATAACCACAGAGAACAAACCGATGGTTACCAGAGAGGACTGGGTGGGGGATGGGGAAACAGTTGGCGGGGATTAAGGAGGGGGCACTGGGATGAGCACCAGGTGTTGTATGGAAGCGATGAATCACTAAATTCTACACCTGAAACTAATTACACTGATGTTAACTGGAATTTAAATAAAAACCTGAAAAAGGAAAAAAAAAAAAAAACTAAGGCGAAAACAAAAGGTATATGGAAATCTCTGTACCTTTTACTCAATTTTGCTGTGAACCTAAAAATGCTCCAAAAAGTAAAATTTATTTTTAGAAAAGCAGATTAAATTCAAAGTAAGCCAGAGGCAAGAAAAAAGAGCGGGAACCAATGAGATGGAAAACAGAAAAAGAATAAAAATCAGAAGCTAATTCTCTGAGATCAGTACAATTGATAAATCTCTAGCCAGAGTGATCGGAAAAATAAACAGTGAAGACACAAAGTGCGACTATCAGACTTTACTGATTATCTTCCCACAAAGAAACTCCCAGGCCCTAGAAGGCTACACTGGTAAATTCTACCAAACATTTAAGAAAAGAGAGTAATATCAATTCTTCCAAAAAATGAGAAGCATCCATTTTAGAAAAAAGAAGTAAAACTATCTTTATTTGCAGGTGACACAATCATCTATGTAGAAAATTCTATGGAATCTACCAAAAGGCTACTAAATAAGTAACTTTAGGAATGCTGCAGGACAAAACAACCAACATACAAAATCAACTGCATTTTTATATACTATTGATGAATGATTGCAAATCAAACCTAAAATCAATATTATTTACAATAACATCCAAAGATGAAACACTTAGTGATAAATTAACAAAAATGGGGAACACTTCTACACGGAAAACTACCAAATTTGTTGAAATTAGAGAGGACCTAAAGAAATGGAGACAGATACCATGTCTGTGGGTTAGAAGACCTAATACTGTAAAGATGTTGATTCTCCCCAAATTGATGTGTAGACTCAATGCAATACCAGTCAAAACCGTAGCAGGCTTTTTAAAGAAACTGACAAAATGACCCTAAATTTCCTCTGGAAATGCAAAGAATCTAGACTAGCCAAAATCACTTTGAAAAAGAACAAGTTGGAGGGCTAGTAGTATTGCCTGATTCCAAGAATTATTAAAAACTAATCAAGAAAATACAGTATTGGCATAAAATTATAAAACATGCAAACTTTTATCACTAATGCATAGTGAAAGAAAGTGGATCAGTGGTTGCCTGGGGGAAGGGGAGGGAAGGACAACAGGAGGGAGGGACTACGAAGGGGCAGGCAGTAAGAGTGATGGATGTGTTCATTATCTTGATTGAGGTGATGATTTCAGAGAAATATGCACACGTCAAAACTGATCAAATTGTACACTTTAACATCTGTCTGTTGTTTAATTATACCTCAATAACAGATTTTCCTGAAATCAAATTTCTGTGGCTCATTGTTACAAAATGGGATGCTAACAAAGCAACAGTTGAGGTAGAATGGGGGCAGGGAGACTAACAATCTTCATGGGAGACTTAAAGAGCAAAAGCTATTTGAGGTCAAGTTCCTTCCCTGGTAGTGATGAAAGGAAAGCTCTTGCCTTCTATGTCCTATACCTCAACTAACTATATGGAACAAGAAGTTTTAAAGTGGTATGAGAGAAGATCAACGTGGTCCCTACTAGCTTCAGAGAACAAAACAATTGTCTGAACTTCTGGGAAAAATCTCCTTATCAGTACTTCTAGCATTATTTTGCCTACTCGATTCTTTACTACAACTACAGGGAAACTGCTACTACAGGCAACGACAGGGAACCTGCTAAACACAAAATGTGATCACAGCATTACCTTTTAAAAAGTCCTCTGATGACTATTCACTGCTCTGAACAACACAGTTCAGAAGATCTAGAGTGATCTGGTGACTACCTTTTCAACTTCAATTCTCACAGTGAAGAACTGACTTCACCGCCCCACCCCTGTCCTTTGTTAACTCTTACTAGTCCTTCAGAAGCCGGTTTTTAATAAACCTCGTGGAAAGTATCTCTAACCTTCTCAACTTGGAGTAATGTGAGCTCACAGGTGTGCCCAAGACACCTTGCATCTCCCCGTGTTGTAACACTTACCACATTCTACTCAAACTGTCTGTATCTGTATCCTCTATGAACACAGGTCAGATACCACGTCTCTCTTATTTACTTTTGCATCTCGAATGCCTAGTATAGTTTCTAACATATAGTGAACATTGATATAATAAAGCTTTCGTTTGGAGAAATGGTGAGGTTGCTCAAGTACTAGATTTGGAAGTAAGCCATATACAACACCTTCCGTTTCAAGCAGACACGGACAATACATTAGTTATCCGGTAGCAGCAGCAGTAACTTGAGATCAATGGCGTGTTTACTGATGTAGGGGATCTGA